TTGCATATATAATGAGAAGTGCAGCAATGGGTTTTACTGGGCGATAAACTACACTGGCTTGTTATGACAGTATTATGGGAGATAATTAGGAGCATGCTCTAGAAAAATGGCAACAAAAACCAGCACCATAGTTCTAAATGTCCTATCAACATTTGTATTTCACTTATGAGAAATTAGTCTTCATTGCTGTATCAGTCTGGGGCTGCTGATTAGGTGTGTAACTTTGTAAAGCAGTTTTGTGAAGCAGGTAGAGTGTTTGGTAGGAGACAGACTTTATTGGCTTTATTGTATGGCTTTAGTCAAATCACTATCTCTCAACCTAATGTATGTTACAATATCAACATAAAGGGGAAATTTAAATGCTGTAAGCCGCCCAGAGACCTTCGGGTAGTGTGGGCGGCATATAAGTTAAATCAATAAATAAATAAATAAATAAATAAATAAATAAATAAATAAATTTGACAACAAAGCCCACCTTCTACCCCTTTTAAGACTGAAAGATCTGGGTGCCAAAAAAGTTTTAGCACCTCCTCGTGGTTAGTGTCACTTTTCTACTCTGAGGAGGTGGGGCTGAAATTAGATATAGAATTGCTGAACTCTAGAGTAGGAGCAGATCCCTAGGTGATGGAGTCCAGGGAAATCCATAGCTAAAATATCTCTGTCAATGTAACATCTGTCTAAAAACCTTGAACAAAGGAGAGTTCACTGTCCACTGATGGAACTTGTTTATCATAGTTCATAATGCCAATAATGAACAGAGATGAAGTATTCCTACATGTGTTACTTGAAAGTAATGGGAAGGTGAAGATGGTGATCCCAGACATGGGATCATTCTGATATGTAAATTATGGTGCATTTTGCAAAATTACTTGTAAAACTTTTGATGTTCTCTGCTCTTAGATTGTGAAGTACATTTCCATGTTATTTTTCTATAGAAAGGTTTCTGAGAAATGTAGTAGTGTGAAGCTTTAATAAAACAGCTTCACAGTGAACAATAAAAGGATCAGCAGAGGAGGAATCAAAGGAAGGAAGGAAAAAAGTGGGGAGTGTGGGCTGGAATGAGACTTGTGTCACATCCAGTATGAACTCTTGAACTTTTGGTGAACCCTTGAATCAATCTACAGTCACTGTGTGACCAATGATTGCAGGCTACAAATCAAAATTTTTAGTATATTTTAAGCCTAAGTGAGAATCTCTTGTTTCACCACTAATATAAACATAAAGTGAGTTAAGAAAAATGCCTATAAATTATGGGAAAATATTTTCAAATCAGTGGAAACATTAGTGATGCTTCTTTTTTCTACTTCTCTTTGCAGCATATTCATATTATCAGAAATTATTTTAGAGAACCCAATTTTGCACAGACATCCCTTAGTAATGACCGCAGCATTGTTGATTAACATTCATTTTCAATCAAAGTTAATCTGCAAAGTCAAAAGAAATTTTAAAACTAAAACGTGCATCAAAGGGGCAGATGCTTATTCCTTTAATTGTTTGTTGTTATGTTAATCTTTCTTTACAGAACCAGGTCCTATAGATCCACCATTCCTGATGAATGTTACATCCAGAACAGCAACAATTTCCTGGCAGCATCCATCAAAGCCAAACGGCATGATCACCCACTACAATATTTACCAAAATGGCCAGCTGCACACAGCTGTTCCAGGAACAACATCTAAGTGCCTTGTACATGACTTGCGTCCTTACACAGTTTATCGGTTTCAAGTAGAAGGCTGTACCTCCAATGGCTGCTCTGTTTCTCCTGAGACTCCACCTGTTCAGACGCTTCCAGGTGCACCTGAAGATATTCCTGCTCCAGAGCTCTATTCAGACACACCAACGTCAGTGCTAGTCTTGTGGCAGCCTCCTCTTCATCCAAATGGACTGGTTGAAAATGTTACAATTGAGAGGAGAGTGAAGGGAACGCAACAAATATCCACCGTTGCTTCCTTGCCCATTAATCATTCAAAGAGCTACTTGGACCAAAGCATGGCTCTTAGCCCGTGGACAAAATATGAGTACAGAATTCTCGCAAGTACTTTTAATGGTGGCATTAATAGCAGCGCATGGGCAGAAGTAATCACCAGGCCATCTAGACCTGCAGGCATCGCGCCCCCTGCAGTAACAGCATTAGGCCCGGACACTGCACAGGTTTGTTCAGATTCTATTTTCCCTTCCTTTATTTCACTAAAACCACACATTTACCAAAAAAGAGAAAAGGAAAAGGAAAATGAAAAAAAGTGGCCCTTCCGTCAGAAGAACATTTTGGGTGTCATGAAAGGGCAATAAGCTGTTACTTTATTTTATTTTTTACTTTTTAGTTGAAGAGATTATTAATTGTTATTTAGATTTTTAAAAAAAAACAAAACCTTGCTATTGATGAAAAGATATGCTTAATGGATTCCGCATATCCAGTACCAGCCACATAACCTGGCTGGCACTGGATACAGGGCACCTTAACTTGGATGAGTGAAGCATGCCATTTGCTTCTGTGCTTCAGGGAACTAAGTGTGTTAAGCCATCCCATTTTTTTAACTCGACTCTTTCTGGGTCATGCTAGAGATGTCACTACATTTAAGGGTAGCTTCCATGCCCATGCAGGGGTTCTTCACATAATATTCCACCATAGTTCTCTTTCTTGAACTGCTTAGTGTCGTGATGGTGGTGAAAGGGTAGTCAAATAGTTTTATTGGATCTCTGTGCTAATTACCAGTTGCCTCAGGCAACCACAGCCATCTCCATATCTTGCATTCAGTTCTACTGAGACCTTAGGAATGGATCTTTATGTACCCTAAACTTATCTCCTGTGGGATCCTCTACTATTTCTGAGCTTCTTCTTGACCACAGCTAGGTTATCTGGGGAATTTCTTCTAGCTGCAAACCACCACCATTTTAGCTGGTTCCAAACTGACATCATTACTTGAATAAGTAATCTCAGAATTGCAGCTGGGAGCCAGGCAACCATGGACTGTGCATGTTCCTATTTTCTGTTGTGCTTCAGACTCTCTTTGTGCATCAAAGGGGAAAAGGATATGCAGCTTCACCCTCCAGAGTTGACACACTATATGATTTTATTTGGTCTCTATTATCCATTTTTTTTCCAGCTTCCAGTTCAAACTATTCACCTGAGGTTTTTCAGGTTGGAGAACATCTTCCATGTATCATATAAATATAGCCCCCATTGATGCTTCTTGGATCCTGATTGGTCCACTCTGATGGAAACATCTTGTTACCGGTGATACTTGTTCTGTGTTGACCATGGTGGATCTGATTTAAATCAAACTGATTTAAATCACAATTTGAATTTTTAAAAAATCAATTCATGGACAATTTAAATAAAAATATGTTTTAAAATTTAAATCATGATTAAAATCAATTAAATTATTTTTTTTAAAAAATCATTGGTTTTATCCACCCTGGTGTTAACCTCTTCCCAAGTTTGACAACTTGTCTCTTCTGCAGCATCAGTTTAACTATGAGTTTTCAAAGAGTTTTTAAACATGGCAAAAAAGAGGGAGGGTTAAGAGTCTTGAGGCATCTTTACAACTAACAAATTTATTGTAGCAGGAGTTCCCATGGATTACAATCATCTTTCCTTGATATTTGGCACAGAATCCTGTATGAACAAACTACTTACAAAATGGTATTTTGTGCAAGGCTGCACAAGACCATATTCAATACTTCATCATTCCAACACAGACATTTCCATTTATATGCACCAGTAAATGAGAGCTTGTGTAAAACTGTTGGTGGACCATTACATTGTGTTGGAGTTTGAGAAGATTCTGGCCAGCAAATATAATATTTAAGCCTGAGATTTATATGCACAGTCTACATAAACTGTGCAGGTAGGCTCAGAGGGAAATGGGATATTTATTTATTTATTTATTTATTTATTTATTTATTTATTTATTTATTTATTTATTTATTTATTTATTTATACCCCGCCTATCTGGTCACATATAGAAAATGACAAATGTACATTTGGGTATAAAAGTCCTATTAAGGCATTATTCAGTCTGATTCCAGTGCACGCTTTAAGAGACACAATGGAAACGCTGTCTGAAAGTCTGTAGTAAATTGCAACTAAAGGAGGCCCATTGAATCAGTGGAACTTACAGAAAAGCTGACTCACCAAAGCACTAATGATTCAATGGCGTATTCTAGTTGCGACTTACAAAGATTTCAGCCTGTGGGTTTTGCTTGCACATAAAGCTTACATATTAGGAAGAGCATCTTGTCTTAAGACTATTTGTTGATCATGAGGAAAGTAATGATGGAGGCTTAGGTACTCCCCTCTAGGCTATGTGGAGGAAATTAGATTCCGTAACACCTGAATAGGGCCAAACTAATCTTTCAAAGAGTCTATGCATCTGCGGAAATGGATTATAATGTCCCAAGACTCATACGAAAATAAACCAGTTGCTTTTTAAATTACTGTTTTAAATTCATCATTATTGTTTAGCTCCAAACCACCATAAATTGAGCTTGCTAATTCAGCAGCTCTACTGTTTTGCTGTGTTAACACTGTTGAAATTCCTCCAATTCCTTCTTACACCTGAAATACTTGGCATGATAATAGAGAGGCATATATATTATTAATCACCAATCCAGATTAAAATACGTGTGATACAAAACCTATCACTCTAGGCTTTATTAAAATGCTACTTGTGAGAAATAAATGCTACATGTTTTCAGATAGGTGTCAGGATTTCTGTATTGCTTTTAATCTCTGATAAAATCGATACATAAATTGACTGAGTGAGGATAGAACAGTCTTAGAGGACTACCTAGGAAATTTTCAATTATTCGCATCATTCATTTGGGAATGAACTCTAGAGGACAGGATAACTACCATTGTTTTGGCTTGCATACAAACTTCATTCAAGGGAAATTAGTGTAACCAAACAAGAGGGATTTTTGTAGCTTAGAAGCCTCTTTTGTGTAAATACACACATGCTTCCATGGATTCAGTCTTGTACTAGTGCCAAAAAGCTTGGTACTGTAGCTTGCTCACCAGAGCACAAAACAAAGGGCATTTGCATAAGGCTGGAGATCATCCACTAAAATTATTGTTGCTGTTATTGGTAAGGGGAACTCCTCAGGTGAATCTGCGGTGAGAGGATATGGATAGAAGCCAACCAAACAAAAGATTTGGAGCAACTATTTGAAAGCTTGACAAGCAAAACGAAGATTAAAGCGTGATAATGAAGCGAAGGTTTGAAACATACTGCATCTGCATCACTGCCCAAATGAACTCAACTTAATCTATGGCCACAATAGCAAGCATGGCACTTAACAATTATAAAATAACATTCATTGTGATGCATGGACGCCTTACTTGTAAACGGATGGAACCTACATTATTCTAAAATCATTACTCATAATATATAATACGAAAATAGGAAAATCAATTTTTATTACAGGAAGTCATTTCCTAGTATTGACAAATCTAGATGTGTGTGCGTGCATGCATGTGTTTGTGTGTGCGCATGGACACGAAGGAAGGAATTTCCAATATCTTTTAGAAACATTTTATTTCACAAATTGTTTTCGTTTAATACTGGAGCGCAGCATTCGTGTTGAGTTATTCTTTGGCACAGTGGATATCTGTAGCAGTTAGCAAGAAATGAGAATTTGGTTTGGTTCAATTTGTTTTCTAGAAATGTTTTCAAAATTTTCACATTGGTTTATAATCTGAACAGATTTGAGGTTGTTGTTTTTTTAGTACAAAACAACAACAATGCAAAACATAAAGCTGAAGGGATTTTTTCCCCCTTCTGTTCAAAGCAGTGGGATCTGAACAGGTACAACAAGGTGAAGTTTTTGCAGCATATATATTTAGTCATTTTACTTAATAATTTTGACCTGTCTGTCATCATTGTGAAAACCTGAGCAATATACAAATCTGAGCACCATGAAACAGGAAAATCACATCGTAATAGTAAGAGTGGAGGAGGTTGCTAATGGAAGTGACAGATAGCTCAGTGATTTAGTTGGCAGTTCAGTTCCCTACTGTGTCTCCTTTGACAGGAAGGGGCTGGACTTGATGATCCATAGGGTCCCTTGAGGTTCTGCAATTCTAAGATGATTGTGATTAAAATCAATCAGTAAAAATGCAGGGTAGTTGTTGGAGCTAGAGATGTGAATTTTGCAACCTCTTGTTTTCAAAGGCAAGGCAAGGGGGGGGGAAGCTTTTCACAGCAAGATTTTTCTACCCAGAACTTGTTTTCTGAGAAAACTAGCGGGAGGTCTTTTCTAGTATTTCTTGGACGTTTCTTGGTTGCTTTTTTTAGAAGAATGCCAGACTGTGTAGGGTGATTACAATTTCTGTTCAGTGTGCCATCTTTCCTAACATGACTTACCTGGAAAAGGCAGAAGAAACAACAAATTGCTTAGGACTGTTACTGTTCCTCTGCAAAACTGCATCTTTCTTGCACAGATATGCAGAATTTGGGATTTCCTGGGCAGAAAACCTTGAAAGATATTGGGGGGGGAGATTAAGAAAAGGGAAAATAAATCAGGGATCTCAGTTTCGCAGGGAGCCAGGCAGTCTCAATGATGTGGGGGAGTGGGATGCAAATGCTTGCATTTTGCATCAACCCACACACCTTTTTTTATTTTCAAACTACAAGAGTTCGGCACATATTTTTCTCATGCTGCAGATTGTGAAGAGGAGCTGGTCTTTTCATTCCCATCCAGGAGAAAACATTAAGTCTTTGGGTAGCTGACAGTTTATTTTGATGGTGCCAAACATTGTTTTTCATCAGGACTAAAATTTCCATAGACGCTACCAATATATAAGAAGGAGCAATACTTTTTTAAAAGTGCATGCCCTGCTTTGCAGCATCTCATACCCTCCAGCATATCTCAGCTGTTATAGAGAAAAAAACAGGTGTTAGACAGATGTGCAGATACAGGCCTGCACTAATTTTGCGGTGAATATTCTAACAGTGAAGAAGGCAATGCCTATGTATGTCCAGTCAATGCTTTAGCCCCTCGACTTTCCCAATCAACAAATCGTGTCATACTTTCTACCTGTGATATGTGACATGGTGACATCTAAACTATTAAACTGAAAAATATGTACTACAATTAAGAGGGGAACTGGTTGCAAAAATTATGTAATGTCCTAACTCAATAGATAAATG